GGGAGAGGTATAATCTGACACGCACAGCTTTGCAATCACAGGGGATTTAATGGGTACGGCACACAACAGAGGTGTCTGAGATTCACAATGCAATCATTCCTATCACAGGTAAAAACAAACATTAATATAAATCTAAACGTCATTAGAACTGGAGGAACTAGAGCAGTCCACTAAGATATGGTGAGATGAGGGCTGGAAAAACCTAAACACCCACTGCCTCCTTTATCAGTGCATAGAGTTTCTGGAGATGATTAGTACATAGTAGTTTCAGGCCCTCATATTGTATCTCCATTAAAATCTCCTTCATTGAATAGTCTTTTAACTTTCCATCCTCCAAACCAGTGAACAGTACATATGCCACTCCATTAAGTCCCTGTGTCAACATTAAGTGTCTCCCTCCCTCTGTTGCAGTGTCTGTAGTGCTAGTGAACAGCAGACCTAAGTATCACTGTGACAAACTGGCCATGTTTGGGTATGTGGGCTGCAGCAGCACATGCCCAGGCAGTCTGACAGCTGGTATCTGGATGGGCATGAGCTGCCTGACGACATAATGGGATCTGCAGTTCAGACAGCAACTCTACCAATCCTATGATTTAGCAGTCGGTGTGAATGCATAGCTTACATGTACGTGTTGTACACACTGGGTGATGTTCTACAGCAATACTGTGTGGAGGCTGGAGTTTTAATACACATCAGGAAATATCAGTTATGACTTGCATGGCAACTGTGACTTGACCCCTCCTTGCGCTTCCTAGCAGTTTGTGTAATTGGACATACAGTAACTCCTCACTTAACGTCCTCCCGCTTAACGTTGTTTCGAAGTTACGTCGCTGCTCCATTAGGGAACATACTCGTTGAAAGTTGCGCAATGCTCCCTTATAACGTTGTTTGGCTGACTTTACAAGGGAGCATTGCACAAGTTCCTCTTCTCCGCCTCCTCCCCTTCCCTTCCTCCCTCCCAGGGCTTCCCCCACCACCAAACAGCTGTTTGGCGGCGCTTGGGACTTTCTGGGAGGAAGGGAGGGAGGGAGCGAGTGGGGAAGCTGCCCCCCTTCCCCTCCGGCAGGCAGGGCCACCTGGAACACAGGGGCTTTAGGGGCTGAAGGGCCCTGGGCTAAGGGGGCCCTGGGGCCCTGGCCTGCAGCTCTAAAGCCCGTTTCAGAATGCGGCCCTGCGAGCACGGGCCGGAGGACTCAGGAGGAGCAGGGGCAGCCGCACAGCCAGCGACCGAAGAGAAGCGGCGCTTTGAAGGGGAATTAACTAATTAAGCATTAATCTGCTTTTGGTTTGGATGGCCCCCTTTTTTTTTTTTAAGGGGATGGAAAAAAGGGGCTGGGGTGCATAGATGGAGGTGCTTGTTGCATGTGATACATATAGAAGAGTTAGCTTGAAGAAGGCAGTGCTGAAAAGTTGCTTAGCAAGCATCCTGTCCTCCAGGTTAGAGCTGCTCAGGAATTTTTTGACACAGTTTTTTAGCTGAAAAATGACAATTTGTCTAAACCCAAACTTCTCATGAGGAAAGGGTTGGTTTCAACTAATTTCTTGACTGAAAGCTTTTGGAAAAAAGTTTAGAAATAATCAAAATGTCTGTTTTTGACATTTTCTAAATGAAAGATTAGTTTTCTGTTTTGAAACCATTTTTGTTTTAAAACTTAAGCAAAGTAGAGTAAAAGAATAACCAAAACCTAAACATTTTGACTCGAACCAATTTTGTTTTGCATTTTTGGTTTGTGAACATTTGAGACTTTGACTTTTCATCTCAATTGAATATGGAAAAAAAATTCTCAAACTTTTACAAAGGGGAAAACAGTTTCTCAATCAGCTCTACTTAAGTTTTCTGGTGAGCCAATAGTAGTATGTTCCAATGCTAGTAATGCTTTTAAACTTGAATATATTTGGAGTTTTGTAGGCAGAGTTCTATCATGACGACAGGTCAGAGCTGGTTCTTGATAGCTCTGGGGGAACACTGCGGTACGCATGCTCCCGCAATTGAATTAACTGCTGTAATAAAGCAGCTATCTTCTTAATCTGCCTCTAGACTTTTAACTACTATTCCAAGCATAACAAATGTGTGACCTAGGAATCGCGCATTCATGTAGAGGCAGATAAAGGATTCCTTTGTTAAATAACTGACTGAAGTAAATTGTGCAAGCCTTCATTATGGGAGTATTGTGTGTGCTTGGTATTCTGCAAGTATGGAGGAACTTATGTTCTATGCTTGAAAGGCTTCCATTATAAATTAGACAGACAATACAGTTCAGGTACACAGGGTGTTCAGAGGAAGGTCCCATTTCCAAACAGCATGCATGTGTATATGTAATTCTATAGTAGCCCAAATGTTCAGAAGTGACTTAGTGATTTTTGGGGTGCGCAACTTCAGCTGCGTGATTTTTCAGAAAGTGCTGAGCACTTGTCCTCTAGAAATCAGGCCCCTGCAAGGTAGCTCAGGCTGGGCACCCAAACTCACTAATTATGTTTAAAAACTCAGGCCAGTACAATTTACCTCTACTTTATTTGTTAAGTAGTGCTGCAAATCTTCAGTGGAGGAGCAGGTTTGAAGGGAAGATTTGTGAGAGGGCAGATGTTTGGTGTATCTGGAAGGGGGAAGGTAAAATGTTCCAAAGATAATGGCATGGAAGAAGGTGTGAAGATGGAAGTGAAAGAAACTTACAAAAGGAGTGTTGCAGAGAGCAGCTTAGGGTTTGAGTAAGAGGAAATGAGAGCAGAGAAAGAGCCTGGCATGGTGTTGTGGAGGACCTGTATAGGAAGACAAGAGTCTTGAATGGGATGTGGAAGAGAAAGGGAAGCCTGTGAAGGGAGTTGAGGAAGAGAGTCATGTAAGTAGCGGGTGGCAGGTGATCTTACCAGTCTCTCATTGTGATTTCAGTGCAAAGGGTTTATTTGTTTAAAATTCTGACTGATGTGCTGTATGCAGTATGTGCAAGAGAGACTTCCTGTGTGTACTGCCAAGGGCTTGTGGCCCTATCACTGACCTGACCTCTCTGCTCTTTGGTTGCTTATGGATAAGAAGCATCCTGACCAACCAGTTTGTGCTGGTTCAGTTAGGTATGAAGAAAGGTCTCCCAGTACTTCTCCTAGGAATTTCCCTCTGTGCTCTAGGTAAAAGCTTCCCCTCCTAACACCCATTGTTGTGCACCAGGCCAGAGGCTTCCTGGGGTAGCAGTGGAATGTTGAATTCTTCTCCCTGCCAAAGGCGCACAGATGGAAGGAACTGTGTGTGTGTGCATCTGTGAAGGTTTCCCTTAAAGTCTCTCCTCCCTTCCCCATCTTCCTACTATTCTCAGGCTTAGTTTTCTTTTCCTCTTTCTTTTTCCTGTTTAAAGAATGACCCATTTAATGACCCTTTTAATGTTAATCCTTCCTCCTGCTAGAGAGTGAGTGAGCTCTGAGATGACACGGCTGAGGAAGGGGGAAGCAAGGCAGGAATTTGCCTTTCCACAGAGTTGTAGGGCTGATGGATTGGAAGGATGAGGCACAAAGCTTTGAGACATCTGGACTCCGTCTTGGTGTTTTGCCTCAACTATCTCCTTCTTCCTCTCCTTGCCTCCAAACTTCGCCTCAGTCTTGAACAGCAATGGTGGCTACAGCACCTTCCCTCCTCAGATAACCATTCTGGGAGTCTCCTGAGGGAATGGAAATGAAATTGAGGCTGTATCACCCAAGTGGAATAAAGTTGAGGGAGAACGGTCACCCTACATGGTTCTCAGTCCTCTGTACTCAGTGGTTGTGTTTTTGGGGTGAGGTGGTCATTACCATGGAATGCTCAGTCATTGAGGCGCTGGTAGGACCGATGGGTGGGATCATACTCCATGGAGTGCTACTCCCTGGGACTGAGGGAGTGTGAGCTGGGGTCATAATGCTCTCATTGTTCCTCTGTGATTACATGCCATTTCCTGAACTACTCCTTTGTGGTGATTCACTCTGGAGCCGGAATGTGGAGAATGTTTGTTTAATACAAATGTAAATCCCAGTCAGGTCCAGACCGTGGTTGCCACATCACTGTGGTGTCCCCCTTTCCGCTCCCCTACTACTCCCCAAGCACTTACAGTCTCTCTTACTCTCCTGAGTCTCTTTTCCTCCCATCTCCCCCCCCCCCCCCAGTGTGGGTTAGTGGCTCTGTAACTGTCACATGAGGCTGACTGCTTGCACAGTGTGCTGAGCAATGTCCCGGTAAGGAATAGTTAATAATACACAAGCCACAGAGGGACGGTTGCTTCTTTTGGCTCCCCATGAGATATTTTCTGGACTGAATACACGCTAGGTTAGTTGGATTAGAGATAAAATATACACCACTGGCCTGTTGAGAGACCTGTTGTCAGAGTCACTGTAGGCCTCTCATTCTCTGGATTACTGGGAATCTTCGGTCATTGTAGAGCTGATGCACTGGGTGGTGTAGGGGTTCAGCTCATCTCATCTGTTATCTCCATCTCCCACAGTCTCAGACCATTGACTCGTCTGATCTGTGAACCTGCCTTTGGCAGTGACTTGATAGAGTGTAGTGCTATAATAGTGTGTGGAGAGTTTGATTCCTTCCAAACCCCACGCAGGAGATCCTCTTGCCCTACTGTCATTGCCAAGTGCTTTGAAGAAGGCATGTAATGGAGCAATCTGTCCAGAGGGTGGGTTGGCTGCCAGCAGTGGGGGCTGTAGGATGGAGAAAATGGGAGTCAAAGGTGGAGTGGGGGGTGGATATTCCACCTACGGCTGGAAGTTGCCCTCAGAATATAGGCACTGATCAGGAATCTCCATTCTGATTCAGAGCTGAGATTCCAGACCATGTTTCCTACTGATGCCATCATATTCTGCCGACATAGCCTGAATTGCTGCCCCTGAACAGGGTGGTAGCTCCCAGCTATGCCTAGGGGGCAGAGTAATGCGGGATGGGGGAACCAGTGGCAAACCAGTATGTGTATGAAAACAAATCAAAACCTTGTGAAAGTTTTTTAAACTAACCTTCCCCCCACACCTGTCTCTTCCAGTTTCTGTCTGCTGCTGTCTCTTCATACTGTTTCTTTTCCTGTCTGAGCTCACCGGATTCATAGCCACTGAAATGTAAGTAAAAGCTATTGAAAGTTTGTTTTATAGGGTTTTTTTTTCCCCCCCAAGTGATTCTTCTTTGGGTAGTGTCCCGATGGGTGCTCTGCACCAGGCTGTGCATGTACTCAGGCACTCTTGATAGCAGATTTTCATTAGCAGTGTCCATCGGTCCATGCCTGCACCCTAGATGTCCTTGTGCTCCGGTTTGAGGGCATATAGGGAGGGGCGCACCCACTGCCACTCTAGCACCTTATCAACCACCTGTAGCTTGAGGTGGAGTGTCGCTGGGTTCATTGGCTAGCCATGCGGCTTCCTGCGCTTCTTGCTTATTTTTCCTTGTTCTCTAGTCTTTTCCTTTACTTAAATTATTGTAATTACTTTTTCTGTTATTTAGCACAGTTTGTACTTTTTTGTGGGGATTCCCCCTTCCCTTCTTTCTTTGCCCAATCTGGGCCTTTGTCTTGGGTTTTTTTCTCAGGCCTCAATCTGCTGCCTTAAGTATGGGTTATGACTAAGATCCTGGGCTTCAAACCCTGCAGACCTGCCATGGACATTCAAGCTGCCTCCACTACCTGGGAGAGACTTACGTCCCCTCCAAATGTAAGAACTGCTCAACATTTAAGAGCAGATCTAAGAAATTGAAGGAGTACAAAACTCCTCTTGATGGAGCGCCCTCTGAGACCTGCGGAGTTTGAGTCACTCCCCTGTACATTGGATCCACTGACTGCCTCTGCTCTGGCAGTAAGCAAAGACCCTGGGGGTCCTACGGTACCATCCACACCCTCAAAATAAAAGGATCCTATTCTCCGGAACGAGATAAGAGAAGGGGAAAGTCACCCTTGATCTGGGCCTCTGGGGACTTTGTGTCCCAATGTGGGTACCACTGAGGCTCCCATTCCTTCCAGGACTGACCCCATGGCACCAGCTAAGAAGCTATGTACTGACAAGCCACCTAAAGCAGCACTGACATTGGCACCAGGCTCAGTGCCTCTTAAACATAGGGACTCCTGAGCCTAGCTGAAATCGTCATCATGCCCCAATTGTACTTCGGTACCTTTTCCAGTATTATACAAGGTACTGACTCCTGAAGTTCCTATCCAGAGTCCTCACTACTGTCCAGCCACCTATTCTGTGAGGACCTTTGAACCCTGGAAGAGCCTGAATCACTGCTGCTGACTGGTACTGAGAGAGACTTTCTATCAGAGAGCCTACTTATCCTCAGTCTCTACAGCCTTCAATGGCAACATGTCCTCTGGTACCGACACAGCCTCCACGCAAGCTCTTTGAGGGTCCTAAGAGAGCTTTCCAGCCAGTACTGACACATCCTCAGGTACCTCTTCACCATGCAACCACTCGTGAAACCTCAATACCAGTGAAAGTTCAGGTCCCTCCCCAGGGTCCGGCACTAACTCGACCACTTGTATCTGCACCACTTGCCCTTCAGATGGATGTGGGAATGACACCTCATCTGACTCGGAGGCGTCTATACAAAGTTCTTCTACTTTTCGGTTTCCCTTCCTTGAGGTTCACCATGAGGAGGAAATTCCCAGCAGGAGATACATCCAGAGACCCTGGCAAGGACAACTCTGGGTTTCTTCCTTTATGCTCCACCACAGTGGGCCCTGTGTGGTAACCAGTTCTACAGGGTCCCATCTCGTAAAAGGGCACATCAGGAGCAACAACAGATGCCCTTGAGCCTTGCCCCACAGGCACATCTCACAGAGAAGCAAGAACCAGCTCCTCTGGAGAGGAGGAAGGAAAACAACCTCCTCACCAGATGAGGCTGTCATGCCTCCTTCACCATCTTATCTTGATGATTTCAAGGCCTTTCAAGAACCTATGAACCGTGTGGCAGATGCTTTACCAATTCTGTTGGAGGAGATATGGGAGCCCCAACATTCCTTCTTTGACAGCCTTCCTTTGTCTCCTCGGGGCAAGTCTACCTTGCCCATCAATAATGCACTGCTGGCCCCAGCCCAGCAAACTCCTGCCTACGTGCAAATGAGCCAACAAACTATTATATTCCACCCAGAGGCTTGGAGTACTTTTTCTCCCACCCTATACCCAACTCTCTAGTTGTTGAGGCCATTGACAAACAAAACAGGCGGCATCGGTTCCATTGAACACCATCGCACAAAGAGCCAAAATGTCTACACCTTCTGAGCCACAAGAGCTATTCCTTGGACTCTTTGTGGTTAATAGCAGTCAGTTACCAAGCCCTGATGGCAAAGTGTGATTTCACACACTATTTTAAGTTCTTACTTTTTATTGAACATCTGCTTCGGGACCAGAGAGAACAATTTCAGGCCCTCATTGCAGAAGGCTAGACAGTTGCCAAGGCATCTTTCCAGGCCTCGCTCAGTGCTGCCAACACAGCTGCATGTTCCATGGCTGTGATAGTAGTCCTGTTCCAAGCTTCCTGGCTGCAGTCCGCTCGCCTGTCCTAGGAGATAAAAATACAGTTTTGGACATTCCTTTCAAGGGCCCAAATTGTTTAGTGACACCACAGATGAGTCCCTTCATTCTCTCAAAGATTACCAGGTGACACTATTTAAAAAAATAAAATAAAAATTGAGCTATACCTATCTCATAGAACTGGAAGGGACCCCAAAGGGTCATTGAGTCCAGCCCCCTGCCTTCACTAGCAGGACCAAGACTTTTGCCCTAGATCCCTAAGTAGCCCCCTCAAGGATTGAACTCACAACCCTGGGTTTAACAGGCCAATGCTCAAACCACTGAGCTATCCCTCCCTGCACTACAATCCCTGGGCATCTATACATCTGAAAAAGAGAAAATACAGTAGATTGCTGATAGTTAAATGATCTTGTCCAGTCCACTACCAGCCCACGAGACTGGCTAAGACCCCCTGAAAGAATCCTAGATTCACTAAGAAAATGCCCTCCATAGCCATCACCTCCCAGTCAGTGACACCCTCAAAACATCTGTTTTGACCCACTGGTTGAGGATCACAAACTATCTCCCATTCCAGATCCTGTGCTGTACTCCTCCATCTTTATGGGGATCAACTTTCCCATTTTCTACCTCCCTGGGAGCTTGTCACCTCAGACAGATAAATCCTGGAGGTGATTTCTACAGGTAGTTCCATCCAGTTCAGCTCTTTACTGCCCTCCCACTCATTCCCGTCCCTCTTCAGGGACGCTTCTCATGAGGATCTCTTGGGGCAGGAGGTATCAGGCCTCCTAACACTGGACCTGATCGAACCTGTTCCACTGAACTTCGTTGGAAAAGGGTTCTATTCTCGGTGTCTGGGGCCCTATGAAAACTGGAGGATAGAGACCAGTTGTGGACCTTGGGACTCTGAACACCTTCATCCATGCTCAGCAGTTCAGAATGGCAACCCTACTGCAATAACTCCCTCTCTGGATCTGCAAGATTGGTTTGTCTTCTTCAACCTTCAGGATACTTAACGTCATGCATCCCTCACCCAGACAAGTCCTACATTTTGTGGTAGGCAGAGACCACTACCTGTATTGCATCATACCCTTCAGCCTTTCCACTGCCCCAAGGGTCTTTACCAAGGTCCTATTGGCTGTCACAGGCTATCTTTGCTAGATGGGAATAATTGTCTTTCCCTACTTGGAGGATTGGTGCCTGAAAGGTTGCTTATTTTTCAAGGCACAGACAGCAACCAGAAAAGCTCTGCCTCTGTTCTACTTAGTGGGCCTCTGTCTTAACGCAGAAGAGTCTACCCTCACAGCCACTCAATACATAAGCTTCATTGGGGCCACTCTCTGTATTCCTCCACCACCACCAGAGCATACTTACCAAAGGACAGATTTGCCACAATGTCCAACCTTGTTTCAACAGTACAACAGAATCTGCAAACCCTAGCAAGGGCTTGCCTACAGCTTCTGGGCTACATGGTATCCTGTATGTTTATGACACCCTTAGCAAGGCTACATCTTGGTATCTTCAAGCCTGGCTGAGAACGTCTATGCCCCCAACAAGCACAGTCTATCTAAATGAGTGTCTAACATGGAGGGTCCTCAATTTTCTAAATTGGTGGAAGGACCCACAAAAGATATGCATGGGAATTTCATTCCTACAGCTTTCTCCCATGAGGCTCATCACCACAGACCCCTCCCTGGTAGGTTGGAGTGCGCATTCCCAGAACCTCACAGCTTAGGGTAAATGGACCCCTGAGGAGGTGATGCTGCATATCAATATACTAGACCTCAGAATGTTTCATTACGCTTGCCAGCACATCCTGCCCCACATCAGAGGCCAAGATTTCATTCCTCCTCATAGCCATCACCTCAGCTAGGAGAGTATGGGAACTTGGAGCCTTGATGTCTGGTCCAGCATACGCAGTGTTCTGTTGTGATAAGGTGACACTATGTCCACACCCTGACTATATAATTCTCCTGTATAATCGAGAGATTCACCTACTAGTGTTTTATCCCAAGCCTCGCTCTTCAAGAAATGGAACAAGCCTCCATGCATTACATGCGAAAAGAGCTCTTGCCTTTTACCTCGACAGGACTAGATCCTTTAGGTGTTCCACTAGACTCTTCGTCTCTATTGCAGAAGAAATTAAAGGGTGTCCTACCTCCACCCAAAGACTGTCTAAATGGGTTTCAGGATGTGACTTGTCCTGTTACGAAGCCTTGGGGGTTCATCCCCCTCGAAGAGTTATTGCTCACTCCACCAGGGCTCAATCTACCTCTGTAGCCATCCTGAAAAATATACCTATCTTGGATGCCGCACATATTTTACCATGTGCATTACGCTGTCATGCTCGGTTACAGAGCTGACATGGCTTTTGGTGATGCTGTTCTATGATCTGTACTGAATCCACCTCCTTGGCACCCTTTTCTGTCATTGAGGTACTGCTTGGGAGTCTCCTGACATGGAACACCCATAGTGACACTACTCGAAGGAGGAGAGGTGTAGAGGTCCGGACTCACCCCTGCGGCGCCTCCTGCTGGTCGTCCAGGGAATTAGCTCACCAGCCTCTGGAGCGTCCTCTGCAGGCTGGTGATCCGCCTTGTCCT